AGGGTAAAGAGTGGGGTAGCAGGAGGGTAAAGAGTGGGGTAGCAGCAGGCTAAAGAGTGGGGTAGCAGCAGGTTAAAGAGTGGGGTAGCAGCAGGCTAAAGAGTGGGGTAGCAGCAGGGTAACGAGTGGGGTAGCAGCAGGGTAACGAGTGGGGTAGCAGCAGGGTAACGAGTGGGGTAGCAGGAGGGTAACAGGAGGGTAACAGGAGCCCAGAGTTCACAGGTTTGAGGCCTGTCGCTTCCAGGTCCATTGATGAAAGAGCAGCTGATTGGATGTTTGCTGAAAGCTCTGGGCCAGAGAAAATGTTTGGCTGTCCCGCTGCTCTGTGAGCACACACACACTGTTGTTCCTTCACAAAGACAGGAAACACACCGCTATGTGATGTCATTGAGGGGTGAGGTCAATATCGCTGTGTGGGCGGGGCTTGCAGCAGACAGGAAGTGCAGGCGCTTCCCTGTGTAAACAGAGCTGCCCTGAGATCAGCCTCCTGCTATTGTTCTAAGCGAATGCCTGGCTCAGAGTCTGCTGGGAGGGAAATAGCCCCGTACTGCAGACAGGGTGGCTGTAGCTCAGGAGATCCCTCGCACTCCCTCTGAGTGGCTGAACGAGGCATGTTACATCTCGGACAGACGTCCAAGTCAACATAACCTCTGCTGCATTGCAGTTCACCTGCTTCTCCCTGTCCAATTAAATCAAAACACAGACTCAGGTGCTGCTCGAGTGCAGAGACCCTTCAAGGAACAGGTAGGGAGCACGTGAACTGCCAAACTTCAAACCAGGGTAGTGATGCAGCGCGTGCTCCTCAGCTCAGCCTCAGATTTTAGGACGGACAAAACTACGTCCTATATGTCCAAATATTTACAGCTCTGTCTGCGTGTGGCGACGTTTGATGCTGAGGATGCAGGTCCAGGTTCATCATTTCAGTCACAATCACCTTAAATGCCTTTGCATGTGCTTCACACCTGAGTTTTGTTCCTCCTATTGGTGCAGTACATTCTAGTCGCACCTACCACCCCCCACCCCAAGGTTGAAAAATGAGCACTGACCAAACCCTGCAGTCCCTCTACTGTCCACCAGAGGCTTCAGCAGAGGGTTCAGCCCGCATAGACTCGAGTTTTCAAGCAGTGTTAATTCTGACAGCAAGTTTCTTGTCGGCTAAACATCAGGAGACTGCAGCACACTTAGGCTACGTCCGCACTAATACGTTCTCGTTTGAAAACGCATAATTTTCTCTCTGTTTTGGCCTCCCGTCCACACTGAGACGGCCTTTTCATTCAAGAAAAACACACTCGAAAACATACATTTGAAAACTGTTTGTTCTTTTGTGTCGCAGTGTGGACAGCGCAACCGCAGACTTTTTGAAAACAATGACACATCAGATCACTTTTATTTTCACATCATATGTGCAGGTACACGGGTACAGAACACGCGAGTGAAATTCTTGTGTGGCAGCTTCACAAGCAACGGAAGTGTGGAAAAATACAAAAACATAAGAACAAGCAAATATAAGAATGGCTAAATCTGAGTCTCACATTTTAGTCATGTGATGCAGTCATGTGACCAATTAAACTAAGATAGCGGAGGACATTATACAGCAGTTGTTTTGTTTGACTGCCCTGTTAAAGATTAATATCAGCCTGTACGCGCTTAAGAGAGCTTTTCTTCAAATTCTTTAATTCTCACTCGCTTTTGCAACTTTGTACTTTTGTGTTACTCGCAGAAACAACTCCACCTCATTGTGAGTCCATTTAAAAACCTTATTGCCGACGTTTCAAAGAGCCGGAACGTAAATAAACCTAATTAGTTAATGTTAGTTAACCTAATTAGTTCTGATTGGATCTCGTCTCTCCAGAATGTTTTCGTCTCGTTTTAACTGAAGTGTCGATACATTTCATCGCTGTTTTTGTCCTCGTGTGTTAGTTTTATGTAGTTTACACGGATATGAGGAAAAATAAACCTTGAATTTTCAGTGAGGGTTTCACAGAAAGGACTGAAAAACTGAAAGCAGACGGGCTTCAGCCTGCAGTCTGCTTCCTCGGACTCTCTGTGTGAAACAGAGCTAACCTATTTTAGCCATTGATTTGTTCCAACTGTCTTTGGTTAATGAAACACAGCAGCGTTAACTCCTTCACTGCACTGGGAGATAAATGTGATGTTTGTTAAGTGGACTGAAGTGTTTTTGCTTCGGGGCTGTGGGAGGAGTTCAGACCTCACTTTGACCTGTTCTGACATGAAAGCAGAGGAGCTGATAACTGTCATTCCTCTGCTTTCAGTCCATGAAGACAGTCTGTCCTTTCCTCAGTGTTAGAGACTTTCATTCATTCAGAGACGTTAGTTCTACAGCTGTTAGAAACGTGAGTCTGGGAAACTAGAATCTTACAGACATGGAGGAAAGACAGATAGCCTTGGGCAAGGTCCGAACCCAAGTTGCTCTCTGATGCATTTTTCAGTGTGAATGTTGGATGAAAAGCGTGAAATGTGTAAGTGAGCCTCGGGTGCTTAAGAAGACAAAGACTGTGAGCAGCGGCCATGTTCTCGCTGTGCCTGCAGTGAAAAGGCAGGTCTGCTGGGTTAGCTTATGGTTCTATGTTGATATAATGCGGTGGCGCCAAAAACTGTGGTTTGTAGATGTGCTACAGTTGGCTCAGCTCTCACAGCTCATCAGACAGAAAGGCCCACAGACGGGTTATACAGGTGTTTCCACGAGCTCGCCAGCATCTACCTGATGGTATCATCAGACAGAGGCGAAGGCTTTGAGTGAACAGGAACACCAACTGAATCAGCCAGCCTCCTGGTTTCTGCACCGCTCTCATCCACTAACACAGTGGTTCCCAAACTTTTTTTGCTTTGTTTTACAAGAAAAATGGTTCCCCCCCCCCCGCGCACGCACAAAACATCCTCCAACCACACACACCCATATTTTGCTCAATTGCAGTTTATTTCACAGCTCAAACATTTAGTAAACAATTAAGCAAACACAAGTAATCTGCAATAAATTACAGGCAGTAATAAAATAAACTAGTAACTCTTTTATGCTACGTCCGCACCTACACATGTATTTTTGAAAACGTAGCTGTTTCTATGCGTTTGGACCTTTCTTCCACGTAAACGGCATTTCCAATCACCGAATTTTTTTTAAACTCCTTTTTTGTGTTTACGTGTGGACGAGGAATACAGAGTTCGTCACGCGACATCAAAGGTATGTGCCTTTTTTCACGTCACGCTGTGGCCACGTTATTGTTTACATGAGATGAACTGCAGAATGGCAGAGAGACAAAATACTGTTAATCTGACTGTCTGCAGGTTTTACACACAGTTACTGTCCCTCCATTTACAAAGGCAGAGGCGTCACGGTGTCATTATTTTACATGTAGTTGTTTTTTCCTGTGTAATAATGTTCAACATTGCTGTCAATACATTTTTCAAAAAATGCCTCTCTGTGCAAAATGTGTTCAAAAACATAAACAGCTGTGAGATCCTGTTTGTCTGTAATTTAAACAGCCCAGCGCTGCTCCCGATGCAGGGGAAACTAATCCTGCAGGGAGACCTACCTCTGCACCTGTGCAGGTGAAGCCAAAGGGAAGATTTGCTTCACCATATTTTCTAGTCTTTGGCTTAAAATGAAGTTGGTTTAGAAACATATTCAGCGATGCTTTGCGTTGGTGTGGGGGCCCCGTGCTAGCAGTGTCCAAACGCTTATTTATTTATTTTTACCTTTTCATACCACCCACCCCCCGGACGCAGAGCCAATGCGGGGGGGGGGGGGGGGGGGGGGGGGGGGGGGTATGAAAAGGAAAAAAGAATAGGGTTAGGGGGAGGTGCACTTACACACTGCTAGCACGGGGCTCCCACACCAACGCAAAGCAGGAGCTGAAGCATCGCTGACTAGAGACTAGAAAATATGGTGAAGCAAATCTTCCCTTTGGCTTCACCTGCACAGGTGCAGAGGTAGGTCTCCTGCAGAATCAGAGACAAACAGGATCCCACAGCTGTTTATGTTTTTAAACCCATTTTGCACAAAGAGACATTTTTTGAAAAATGTATTGACAGCAATGTTGAACATTATTACACAGGAAAAAACAACTACAGTAAAATAATGACACCGTGACGCCTCTGCCTTTGTAAATGGAGGGACAGTAACTGTGTGTAAAACCTGCAGACAGTCAGATTAACAGTATTTTGTCTCTCTGTCATTCTGCAGTTCATCTCATGTAAACAATAACGTGGCCGCAGCGTGACGTGAAAAAAGGCGCATACCTTTGATGTTGCGTGACGAAGTCTGTATTCCTCGTCCACACGTAAACACAAAAAAGGAGTTTAAAAATAACTCTGTTTTCAGTGATTCGAAACGCCGTTTATGTGTGAACGAAACAGCTGCGTGTTCAAAAATACTCGTGTAGGTGTGTTTGTATCTTTGTCTGTTTGCTTGGCATTGTTTTTATTTTGTGTGTTTGTTTATTTTTTCCTTTAGGACGGGGGTGTAGGATCAGGAGTGATCTTTGACCAGTTACCTTCAGATTAGATCTTCCCGAGGGGGCGGGGCCTGAAAAGCCCAGGGTTGTCAAAATGGCAGCAACGTCCTCCTTGCAGAGCAAAGGTGAGTCACCCTACTGTTGCAGGTGAACTCCAGCTTATTTAGACTCTGATTGGATGAAATCACCACATTAAGACCTGATGAAGCTGTAGAGGAGCGTTCGATGGCGTTCGATGGCGCTGCTCTGGCGCGTCTGCATGTTCACAGTCACAGCACATGAGCACATGTGCTTCACATTACTGCCATCTCCCTGCTCGTGACCAGCTCGTCTGCCTTCTTTAAAACTACATATAGCTTCAGAAGGAAGTGAACCGGACCTCATTTTGACCTCAAAAACTGAACACAGCAGCTTTGAGAAGGTTGGGTTAAAATCTGTGGCCCGTTGTGTCATCACATTCAGCTTCTTGAAACTTTTCTGTTCCTCTGTCTGATCCTTTCTTTCAGGTCTGGGTCTGGTTCTGGTGGAATTTGGGTATGAGTACGAGGGTCGGGATGGGGCGCTGGTCACAATCAAACCCAATGAGCGCTACATCCTCCTGGCGAAGACCAACAACCACTGGTGGCAGGTCCAGGAGGATCGCAGCTCCAAGCCCTTTTACATTCCGGCCAAGTACGTCAAAGAGCTGCCGTTGGAGTTACCCTCTCCTCTGGACTTTGCTGATCCTCCCAGTCCCGAACTGGTGCTGCCTGTCGTGGCTCCAATCCCTGTGGTGGTGCCTGTCCCCATCCCAAAGCCTCTAGAAGAGTCCAGAACCAAACCAAGTGATGACATGACCATCAGACTCACACCCGATGCGGTCAAAAGGCACCACAAAAATGAAAATCGGATGTCTACATTTGGCGTCCCGCTCGACTTCCAAGATGCGGCACCTCGGCTACCTGGGGCCCCTGCTGGTCCTGCAGAGCCCGGGTCAACAGCAAACAACAGAACTGCAAACTCCGCCGATGGCAAGAAGCCGCCCCACCTATCAGGCTACGTGGAGGACGCCAGGGACGCCGGGAAACCTCGCGTTCCCAGCTTCAGTCCGGCAGACCCCCTCTCAGTGCCCCGGCCCCAAGCCCAGCCCATTCGGGTGGAGACACCAGTGATCCCGCCCCACAGCAGCCTCCACAACATGTCCTCATCCCCAGCAGGACGTCCGGATGGCCACGAGTCTCCAATAGAGTCAGATGAGGAGGAGCTGGCAGAGGAAGAAGCAAGCGTGGAGGAGAGCGTGGAGGAGAGCGGTGAGGAGGGGCGGGACTCAGTGAAGGGCGAGGATTCACACCACATCTACGAGTCCATCCAGGACCTGAACCTGGACCTGGAGGCTCTGGTCGGAGCGAGAGCGAGCCCTGCAGCACAGGTCGAGCCTGCAACACCTGAGGCTGCACCAGCCCCACCTCCCACACAGGTAAGTCCCCAGACTATGAAAATGACCCTTTGATAAAGTCTCTGATTGTTGACTTTTAATGTAATCAAATATCTTTTTACAACACCTGGACTTTACTTTTATTGAAATGATTGGTAAAATGGCACAAAGGCAAAAATAAGTGTTCAGGAACGGTTAAAGAACAACATGTTACAGAGTCCTCCAAAATAAAAGTCCTGTGCAGCGTGTCATTTCCTGCAGTTTCCACACAGGAAACAAGTTTTGGAGGAAAAGAAAAGGCCAGTTCCTCTTTTAATTCTCAGCATACCAGAAACAAACTGCTGACCTTTGACCTCCAGACCCACCGAAGCTTAAGAAAACTTAGTTTAAAGATTTAGTTTAAAACTATTTTTTGTTTACTGCTTTTGTTAGTTGTGATCTTAATGTTTCTTTCTTTTGGTTTTAAATTTAATAATTTACTGTTTTTTAAATATTTGTGTAGTTTAACTTTGTATTATTTGTATAAAATAATTTCATTGAACTCAAGTTGCTCAAAACCTACAGAGAGCAGACATTTGTGCGGGCAGGGTTACTGAGGGGGGCTTTTCCACGGTTCAGGGTCTGTAGTGATGTCACAGCTGGCAGGATGTGTTCAGGGTCGGACAGGAAACTGCGAGAGGATGACGCTGCAGCGACACCTGCAGGTGAAAACAGTCTTCAGTCAAGGTTAAATCACGCTGCATTACAGCAGACAGAGCACCTCCTACCCAGCATGCTGTTCAGCTGCTTTAATCATCCGTCCATGCGTTTTCTTTTGGTTATCCAGTTCAGTGATAGGGGGGTGGAGCCTCTCCCAGCTGTCACAGGGTGAGAGGTACACCTGGACAGGTCTCCAGTCTAACACATAGACACTGACTGCACGTGTTTGGAGGAAACCGCCCAGATACTGGAGTTGAACCCCGGACTTTGGTGCTGTGAGGCGACAGCGCTGAACGCTGCAGCATCGCTCAGCTGCTTTACTTAGTAAAAGTCTGCTTGCTCTGTAATGACAGTGCATATGAATGATAACACAGTGACAGTAAAATAACATTCCTTATCGTGACACTCGCTCCGGCTGTGAGCTCCTCGCTGACGTGTAATTACAACAGTGAGTGTGTGGTGAAGTGGGTGTGTCTGCTCTTCAGTCATGGAGCAGGTAGAGCAGCTGCTGTGATCTGAGCACTCAGGGTTTAAATTAGAAAAATTAGATAAATAAATTAGATGCAGAGACGGGTTTAAGGTGGAAATACTGGAATAAAAGAAGTGAATCTGAGGTTTTAACCAGGGCTGAGTATCGTCACTGATTTCTAGAATCGATTCAATTTGAATCGGGGAAATTTTGCCACAGTCAGAAATATTATAATTCAGATCATGCATCAGTACATTTCCATTTTTTATATCTATTAAAAGAAAGCTGACACTTGTGAGACTTTATCAACGGTGTGAGCATCACAGCAGAGGCCTTTGTGTCAAAGTACGTGAGGTTAAAACAGAAAAAGATTTTCCTGGCCTGAGATTTTATAAGAATATTCTGCAGTAGATCGTCGGTGAGAAAGTCACATGATCCTGATGCGTCGGCGGGTCGAGCTTTGTGTTTACGTCTCTGTGCAGAAGCCTGTTCCTGCTCTCATTTACTGTTTTAAATGTTTGGTGGTTGTTGAAATTTTGTGAGGTTTAACCGGAGATTCTGGCGTTTCGGGCAAAATAAAATTATATTAAAAAATCGATTCAGGATTTTAATGAATCGATATCACGTTATCCAAGCTAGAATCGATTTTAATCGATAAATCGATAATCAATACCCACTCCTAGTCATTACCCTCAGGGGAGTTCAAATCATGTTCAACGTCACGTTAGCGCCGTCAGTTTCTGTGTTTGATGAGCAGCAGCTGCTTCTTACCTCTGTGACCATCCGACTCCTCGCATTGCTTTCTGATGTCAGCAGGTAACGATGAAGATCAAGTGTGGGCGTCGCCTTTAAAGCAAACGTTTTGAGTTTTCAGAGTTTGAACTTTTTTCTGCTGCTTGGGTTTAAAGATGAGCTGGCAGCTCAACTGATATTACAGTTTTTGCCCTTTGCTTGAACACATTTTGCAAAACTTCGCTCATTGTGCCAAAACTCTAAACACAAGTAAACATGACACAACACTGGGAACTATACCATTCACATCTCTGCTGTCAAAACCTAACATTCCTCTGTCAAAATGTAACTCTGTTGACAAAATGACACACACTTGCATCACATGCAAACACTTACAGATCAGGGGAACACACTAGTCTACTTCATATAAAACACTGCAGTCTTTGATTTCCATTGTTTATGCAGAAGGCACATTTTCAGGAGACACAAACAACCAAAAAAGCAAATAGGCCTACTCAGTATTGTCCACTGCAGCACCATGAATTCAGATAAAGCAAAAAACCAAACAAACACCATAATACAGTAATAGAAAAAACACTACTGTACACACAAAACATCATGACAATTGTGCATACGTGGGCTCATGGATCCCGCCGTCTGTTGGGGTCTGGCCACAGGACCTCATCAACATCGCAAGCAGTGTCCTCTCCCGCTGGGCACCAGGGAAATATCCTCTTGCATGTCGAAACCATCCATGGATTGCTGTCACCTGAATGTCGCCGCAGGCCTGTTCCATTGCCTGCAGAAGAGGCATGCGGGCATGTAGTTGGCGGTCATATACACGCCATCTCCAAGCCGAAAAAAATTCCTCTATAGGGTTTAAAAATGGTGAGTAAGGGGGCAAGTATACCACTTCAAGTTGGCTGTGGTTGGAGAACCAGGCCTGGACCAGAGCAGCCGTTGGAAACTGACATGATCCCATATCACCACAAACCTGGGCTGATCTGCTCTGTTCTGTACAACTATGTTATGGAGAGCATCTAGAAATGTGAGTATGTGTTGGCTATTGTATGGACCTAGTTTTGCATGATGGTGCAGAAGCCCTCCAAGGCTTATGGCGGCACACAATGTGATATTTCCCCCGCGCTGCCCTGGGACGTGCACAAATGCCCTTTGGCCAATTACATTACGACCCCGTCGTCTTGTTTTGCTCAGGTCGAATCCAGCTTCATCAATGAAAATGAATTCATGAGGCTGTGCAGCTCCATCCATGGCTGAGATTCTCTGTAAAACAAAGAGAGCATATTACTGCACTACAGTGCTACACATACAGAACCCTCACCCATCACACAGGTACCTGTGTAGCTCTCAGGATGGATCCATGTGGTACTGATATGGTACATATTCAGCTGCTACTGGACTTCACCAATACTGTATTGTCCATGTAAAGGACAGTTACACGTACCCGTACATATTCAGCTCGGAGTCCTTTGACCCCGTCACTGGTTCTCTCAAATGGGACTCTGTAGAGCTGCTTCATGGTGATGCTGTTTTCCCAAGATGCATCTGATGGTGGTGATGCTCACATGGTTTACGTTGTTGAACACTCGCCTGTCTGCAAGTATTTGCTTTCGTAGCTGGTGGAGACGGATGGCATTGTCTGCCCTCACTAGGTCCACAACGGCAACTTCCTGCTGTTGTGTGAACAGGCGTTGGCATCCTGCCTCAGAAGGTCTTCGAGTCATTCTAGAGAAATACAACCACATGCTGTCATCGCTTTGCTTACTTTACTGTATATACTGTATCATCCACTGTACAACACTGTACTTCAATATAAGTAATCATGCTATGTTTCACAGAAACTACCACTTTGGCCGCAAAAGCAGCATTAGCACCCTGCAGTACCCTGCACACTTGATATGGTAACTGTAGAACAGTGCTATGAAACCATCTGAGTAGAGTAGAAGGCAGAGAGGTGAAGACAGACCTGCTTTCTAGTCTGAATGTTCTTATTGCAGATGCCACTGTGAAGCGGCTTAGATGTGGGTGGACTCTCTGCCCAGCTTCCCTCATAGTCAGGCCATGGTTGATGACATGGTCCACCAAAGTTGCTCTTATATCATCAGAAATATGGGTCCGTGCATGGCCTCTTCGACCTCCTCCTCCTCCTCCTCCTCCTCTTGCTCTCCCTCCATCCATGCTTGCAAAGTTCTTGAAATGGCTAAACTGAGGGATTTTTGTAGTTGTCTAATTGGTGTTCAGTTTTGCAAGTAAGTGCCTTCAGGTGTGTATTGAGTGGTTGCACATACCCGATGTGTTTTGTATTTTGGATACATGTGTTTTCCAAATGGCACCCTGAAATTTCATTTTGTGAACGAAGTGTCTTATCAAAGTCAAAGTCAACTTTATTGTCAATTCTGCCACATGTACAGGACATACAGAGAATAGAAACTTCGTTACTCTCAATCCCTAGATAAAATAGGAAATGAACATTTAAATATAAGAGTGATTAAAAATGCAAGTAAAATATTTTAAAGTAAAAAAAATTAAATAAAATTAAATAATATAATACAATTTTACATATAACAAGAAAGCTATACAATATACAATGTATATTATGTATGAAATAGAGTGTAGTATGCAGGACCATGTGTGTTGCATAATTGCAACTAGGGTGCAAAGCAGTGCTTTTGTTTAAGGTATGGGTACATGTGTTTGAGGTCTGGTAACAAAAGCGTCAAGTTGTGTTACTTTAGTCTAAGCGTGGCTTTATAGTGTTCAAGCAACGGGCAACAACTGTAATCTTTAACAGGGCTGTCAAAACTGCAAACAAAACAACTGCTGTACTGCTCTCAGCTATCTTGGTTTAATTGGTCACATGACTGCATCATATGACTGAAATGTGTCATTGTTTTCGAAAAGTCTCCGGGTTCGCTGTCCACACTGCGAAAACGGCGTTTTCAAATGTTTCTGCTTTGAGGAGCGTTTTCACCACGCTGCGTTTTCCTTGACCCAAAATGCCGTCTCAGTGTGGGCGGGAGGACGTAGCCTCAGTAAAGGTGGGTGGCAGCAGGCCGTAAATCAGCTGTTGGTGCGTGGAGATGGAGCGGGTTCAGCCAGAGTGTTTCTGACCTTCAGCTCC